GCACGCCACCTGCGTGCGCCGCTCCGCGCGGAAAACTGCGGATGATTCACTGGCGCGCGCCCTGCCTGCGCGCGCCCCCGCCGCCCCTCCTCCTCCTCCTCCTGCAAACGCGCACACACGGCAGCAGCCCGCTCGCACGAAAGCGATCGGAGTGCAATCGATAGTCCATTTGAGCTGGATGGCGTCGTAAAAAGGAGCCCAAGCGGCGCGGGCAACACGAGATGTGTGTGTGTGTGTGGGGGGGGGAACATAACTTTATTGACACACAAAAAAGCGACAACCGCAACACGGGTGCGTTGGCGTGACTTTTTTTGTCCCCACGACGCAGCCCACAAACACGATTTGACGTGAGTACGAGTCACCGATTCGAGCGCTCATTTTGATGAGCGAGAGCGACGCCGATTTTTTGAGGCAGGCGTTCAAATTGGGCTTCCGAGACGGGGTAAGGCTTCCAAACCGAGGTTAGGATCCAACACTTGGGGCTTTTGAAATAAGGCTCAGCGTTTCACACTAGGGTGTCAAGTACGGGTTCGAGATCAGGTTAGGGTTTCAAGTTCGGGGGTCATTTTTCCCAAATGAGGGTTTCAAGTCACGGTTCAGCTTTTCAAACTACAGTTTGGGTTTCAAATTAGGGTTTCGGGCCCAAGTGAGAGTTTCAAGGCCGGGTTAAGAGTTCAAATTACGGTTTCGAGGCCAGGTGACGGTTTCAAATCCGGGTTCGGGTGTTAAAATTACGGTTTCGAGTGATGGTTTGGGTTTCAAATGACGGTTTCAAGCCAAGGTTAGTGTTTCGGGTTCGCGTTTCAAAACCAAGTTGAGGTTTCAACCCCAGGAAATGGTTTCAAGTTAGAGCTCCAAGTGATAATTAAGGCTTTTAAAAAAAATGACATTTTTAAGCCACGGTCAGGGACTCAAATTAGGGCTCCAAGCCCAGGTGAGAGTTTCAAAACAGGGATTCAAATACGGGTTTCAAGTGATGATTAGGCCTTCAAATGCGGGTTTCAAGACAAGGTGAGGGTTTCAAATTAGGGTTTCCAGCCCAGGGAAGAGTTCCAAACTGGGGTTAAGGTTTCAAATTAGAGTTTCAAGTGATGGCTCGGCTTCTAAAATGACAACTTCAAGCCACGAATAGGGTTTTAAAACCAGGTGAGAGTCGAAAACCCGGATGAAGCTTTCACATCTGTGACGGTTCGACTTTCAACTTCAAAGATTTGAGGCAGTCGTTTTTCAAATTTAAGAGTTTCCGGAATTGCGGTTCCAAGAAGGTTTCCAAGCCACGAATAGGGTTTTAAAACCAGGTGAGAGTTGAAAACCCAGATGAAGCTTTCACATCTGTGACGGTTCAACTTCAAAGATTTGAGCCAGTCGTTTTTTAAAATTTAAGAGTAATAATTGCAGTTCCAAGAAGGGTTGGGTTTTCAAAGAGTGCTCCCAGCGCTGCTTTGAGTTTCCGGTGAGCGTTTCTCGCCAGTGTTGTGACTTGTCGGGCTTCCACTCGTTGGTCCTGCGTATTAGCGCCCCCCGCAGGCCTGGAGCCGAAGCGCCGTTTCTCTTTCGGCGGCCATGGGCTCAGATTTCTTTGGCCGCCGCCGCAGCCGTCCGCCGTTCGGCCTTTTCCGAGCCCCGCGGGGCCTCGTGCGTCTCAGTGCTCCCCTCGGTCGCTCGCTGCGCTCCGCGCTCGTTTTCAGACCGTGCGGACGGACGGACGAAATGTCACGGCATCGAGCGGAAGGCAACGATTCGGTATGTTGAGATGATGAAGCCCGACGTTGTCCAATGACATTTCTTGCCTGACAGGACACATCAGCGTGCGCGCTCGCTGCCGTCGGAATCGCGCTTCCCAACGCCAACGGTTCAAATCATTGCTCTCCGACTCAGGGTTGGGGTTAAAATTAGGGCAATTCGGGTTTCCGACCTGGGTCAGGGTGTAAAATTTGGATTTGGTTTTGCAGTCAAGGTTTTAAACCTGACTTTGGGGGTTCAAATTCGGGTTTCAAGCCTGGCTTCGGGTTGTCAAAGTTGCCTTTGAAGCCAGGAATTGGGTTTTTTTGAAGTCAGGCTTTGGGATTCGACTTGGATTAAGGTTTCCAGCGAGCATTCAGGTGTCAAATGAGGGTTTGTAGTCTGGGTTCGGGTTTCCATCTCGGATGAAGGTTCCAACCTCCCGCCTCCCCACCCGCCCTGTCGTTGAGAAAATCCCCAAATCCCAAGCGGAGGCAAACGACACAAAGCGACAAGCGGGGGGGAATGTCGTGACTAAGCTGCTGAATTATTGATGGGAACAAAAGTTTCAAGCGCAGTGGCGCCACCGCCGCTTTTTTTGTACAAGCAGCAGTCACGGGAAACAAAAAACAAACCAGCGCAACTGAATCAACGGATCGCCGTCGGCTTGTGTGACAACGAGCAGCCGCCTTCGGACATATTAAATCAACAACACGAGTTTAGTCAAGTTTTTTTTTTTCACCGGGTAAGTTTTTTTTTTTCGCGGGGGGGGGGGGGGGGTTCAGGTGGAGATCGAGTTCCTGCATGGAACACATCGGCAAAGGACAGTGCAGCTCACTCTCTGGCTCCCGGCCGAGGCTTACGGTTTTTACGGTAGGGTTTCAAATCACTGTTAGGGTTTAAATTTTTTGGGGGGGCGGGGGGGGGAGGGGATTTCAGTTTCTCACCAGGGAATATTCTCTGCTACTCTGTCATCCTCCATGAAAGCGGACGGATTCTCTTTGTGTCAATCGACTTTTAATCGTTTTAACTTGGATAGCAACGCTCAACATTATTTTTTTTGCCTACTTTCAGACATGTTACGAAGCGAACCAGTATGGGACTGAAACGTTTCACTTAAAAAAAAAAAAAATGAAGCATCCTTGAATAACATCGAGATACATATCGAAATGAAATTTAAAAAAAATTGCTGATTTGCAAAGAGCTATTGGCCGATTAATCGGTCGGGCCCGAGTTCTAATCCAAAAATGCTATTCATTAGCCTGTGAATGGCGTTTCCCATGATGTGTTAGCATTATGCTAGTGGGATTTAAGGCTCAGCCGTTTCCAATACGCAATGCGCGCCTCATGTTTTTGGTGAGGGCATTCGAGCGGTCTCTCCCTCTGCCGCATCTGCGCGGCCCTTTCGTCTTCTCTCGCCTCTCTTGAGGAGGAGGACCGCTCCCCTCGTCACGTCGCAAACAAGTTCCTCGGAGGAAATAAATAGGCAGGACGGCGACCTAATAAATGGAATCATCAGCTGGCTTGACGGCTGTCAAGGGAACATCGGCGGGAAACATTTGCGCGCCGGACGCCTCGCCCCCCCCCCCCCCCGTAGCCACCCCTCCTTCCTCCAATGGACTCATTTGCGCACCGCCGCCACCGCGTTACAACATTCATTATTTAGAATCTTTGTGGCCTATTTACTGTGGCGGAGCGGCACACTTGAGCCAAACTCGCATCTTGACGTGTCAGCTTCGCGCCGGCTTCAAGGAGAATTTGATACAACACGGCGAGGCTTCGGGCTCATTAAAGCTTTCCTCGCGCTCAGGACCTGCTTACGTTCTTGCTCTTGTGCAAAGCAAGCGACGCATCGCGAGGAGGAGTTTGAAAAACCTCTGCGAATTGACCCAAAAATGGCAGTCTCTGTTTTTTTTGGGGGGGGGGGTTGAATAATTTCATCCCGGTTATGATTTGCAGTGTCGTAGAACGTCATCGTATCATAATGAGATTATCTTGTAATTTTGGACATGCCTTCCAAATTTCATGTTGCTAAGCCAAACTGGCTTTGGGAGTGGAATTTAAAAAAAAAAAAGAAAGAAATGAGCAAAATTGTAACTAAATTGTCACAATTTTGCCTTCGAAGGACCCCAAAGTAGCAAATTCCATGTTGCTAAGTCAAACAGACTTTAGCAGCTGAATTAAAAACAAGTGCAAATAAATAAATACGAATGGCCTTGTCACGTTTTCATCTTTGAGGGACCCTCAAAAACAAAATGGCGGGCTTTCTGTGTCTTTTCGGGGATGACTTTTGGAGCCTTTTTTTTTTTTTTTTGGTGTGTCCACTCATGATCGACATATCTACCAAATTCCATGTTGCGAAGTCAAATTGGCTTTTGGAGCTGAATTTTCAAAAAGTAATAAATAAAAATGAATTTAAAAAATATAAAAGAGCTTGTTTAGTGTGAGTCTTTGAGTGACCCCAAAAAACAAAATGGCGAGCTTTCTCTGTCTCTGGCTTTGGGGGCGGGGTGAATTTTCCCGCCCAAAAAACTTTGAATCCCTAAAAAAAACAAATTGGCCGGCTTCTTTGTGTCTTTTGAGGCACGGCTTCGTGAGACGTTTTTTGTGCGTCGACTCACTACAGGCCAACCACATTTCTTGTTGCCAAGTGAAATTGACCTCCGTTTTTTTTTTTTTTTTTTTTTAATGGTTGGGTCTCACGCTTATTACGACAAGACGGAGGGTTTTTTTTGGGGTTTTTTTTGTTTTTGTGTAAAAATTTCCAGACGCTAAGATGAACTGCTGTTGATGTGACTCAGCATGCGGATTTTGTGCGCAGGCAAACGTGCACGCCCGTGTGTCTGTGTGATGAGTGAGCGAGTGCTGCCTGGGTAAATACCAAGCGAGCAGATTAGCGCCGCGCCGCCGCTGCGGTTGTTTGTCCCGCATACATTTCAAAGGGAAATTCGCCTGCTAAGCGGCCGATTCGAAAAACACTAAATTTGTTCAACGAATGAATCCTGAAATTGAATTTTTTTAGGCAGGTGGGCGGACGGCGAAAGACGCTTGCGCTGAGCTGCCGGATAAAAGCTTCGCCGAAGCAAGCGGGAGCAGATTAGCGCCATTGTGTCGAGTCCAAATGAAAAGTTGCCAGCAGGTGTGCCAACTAAAATGCGCCACTACTAATACCGCTCAATTAAATCCGCAAGCGGCGAGGAACGGGCTTTTTGCGCCCCTTTTTTTCACGGCCAATCCTCAAAAGGGTCGCCAAACTCCCGATGCAACGTTCCACCCAA